TGTGGCCCTGGGGATCCCCTGTCTCCAGCCTCTAAGTGCTGAAATTACAGTCAGCTGCTCCGCTCACCAGGCGTTTACGTGTGTGCTGGTTAGTTTTTATCAGCTTAACACAAACTATAGTCATCTGGGAGGAGGGAACCTCAATTGAGAAAATGCCTCCATCAGATTGGTTAGTAAGCAAGTGGATGGGAATATTTTCCCGGTTACTGATGAGTGTGGGAGGGCCCAACCCAATGTGGGTGGTCCTGGTTTGTACAAGAAAGCAAACTAGGAAGTCCTGTAAGCAGCTTCCTCGGTGACCTCTGCTTCATTTCCTGCCTCTAGGCTCCTGCCCTGACTTCCCGTTATGACAATTACCTGGAAGTGAGAGCCAAACAAACCCTTTCCTCCCCAGGCTCTTTTGGTCACAGTGTTCCCGTAAGGGCAATAAAAGCGAGCTAGGACTATGTGCGTGCCGGGGAATCTGAACTCGGATCCTCATGCTTGCATGCCAAGTGTTCTCCACACTAAGTCTTCTCCCTAGCCCTAAGAATTAACTTCTCTGGAAACCAGTTCCGACTCATTTAAGGAGGAATATCTGCCTCTGAAAAGGGACCAAACACAAATCCTGTCAGATCCCAATTAAACAGTCCTGATTATCCAGTCTCTTGGGACCTGTCCCCAAGCAGTTCTTGCATAGTTTTATGAACAATGCTGACCTGTGTAGCCTCTGCTTGTACATCTCAGGGGTACTCACTCTCTGTAAAACCACACTCCTGAATCAATAACAGGTTGGACAGTCCTGATTGGGTAGTGGGTTGGGGCACCACATGCTCCTGCACTGGTATGCACAAGTAGGAGCATGCATCCACACTACTCTCCGCTCCTAGATCTTCCAGACAGCTTGGAAGACGCCATCAAATGTCCCTGATTCAAAGGGACTGTTATCACAGCCCCCAAGTGGCAGAGAAAACCCCATCCAATTTAGCGCATTCTTGGCCATCCAAACTTGCATTGCAAGACCCTATCTATTAAAAAAAAAAAAAAGTGCATGCAGGGGAAAAGCTCAGGCAGTAAGGTTTTCCATGCAAGAATGAGAACCTGAATTTTATCTCGAGTACCTGCATTTTAAAAAAGCTGGGTATGGGGCTGGAGAGATGGCTCGGGGGTTAAGAGCATAGGCTGCTCTTTCAGAGGACCTGAGTTCAATTCCCAGAAACCACATGGTAGCTCACAACTGTCTACAATGAGATCTGGTGCCTTCTTCTGGCCTGCAGGCATACATGCATAACAAATAAATAAACCTTTTTTAAAAAAAAGTAATTAATTTTACAAAAAAAAAAGCTGGGTGTGGTGTGTTACACTATAATCCTAGACAGCTCAGCCTCCTGGGCTAGTTCCAGCCAGTAAGAGACCCTGTCTCAAAAAGCAAGATGGAAAGTGCTTGAGGAATGCCAGCCAAGGTCATCCTCTGGTTTCCACGGATGGGCACACATGGGCACACACACACACAAAGTGCCTTGAAGAGGTAGGGTTGAGGCTTCTTCTTGTAATCCTGCCCAGTTTTCAAACTGTGACTGAACTTGGGGTCCCCCAGCTACCCAGGATGCCAAGGCTCTCCCTCTCTGTGCAGTTACTTCAGTAAGAATTGTCCCCAGAGGGCTGGTCCCCGGCTACTGTCCTTAGATTCTGTCCAGGCCCTGATTAAAGAGATACTGCAATGTTTTTTTAAAAATAAACGTGTTGTAACCAGAGGCCCCAGTAACCACAGTATCCTGGCTGACTATGCCTCGTAGGCTGAGAGCCAAGAGAAACTCTCTGGCACCTTGCATTCTGGGAGCCCAACAGCCAGGACATGGCCTAAGAGGACCTGGGGGAGGCAGTCCTGCTCCCTCACCAACTCCCTCTAGAACCATTCAAGTAACCACACTCAGGGCCAGTGCTTTCCACCCGCTCCTCCCCAGTGACCTTGCACATAACCCGCCTGACGCTTCTTGCCCTGGTCAACAAGATAAGTCAAAACACCTTGCCCAGATGACCAAGGCCACTGGGAGTTTGCACCTCTGGCCACACCAAGGCACTGAGACCTCTGAAAATGCCCTTTCCCATATGGATGAGAAGAGCCTATGTGTTGGAAAATATTATTTTAAAGTGTGTTGTTTATGCTGCATTTGCTTAACTCTGTGAAGCTGGGTTTTTTTTTTTTTTTTTTTTTTTTTTTTTGCCTGTCTAAAAAATGCCTGATGGTCTAAAAAGAGCTGAACGGCCAATGGCAAGGCAGGAGCAAGGAGAGGCGGGGCTGCCAGGCAGAGAGTATAAATAGAAGGAGGCCCAAGGAAGAAGAGGAGCAAAAGAACAAGGAGAGGAAGACTTCATGGCCAGGCACCCAGCTATACAGCAAGCCACGGATAAAGAAGTAAAGCCTGGTCTACAAGAGCAAGAGCTAGTGCCAGGACAGGCTCCAAAGCTACAGAGAAACCCTGTCTTGAAAAACTAAAAAAAAAAAAAAAAAAAAAAAGGTATACAGAAACAGAAAAAAGATAAGTCCAGAAGCAAAAGGTAGTCAGGATAATTAAGTTTAAGTTAAGAACTGGCGAGAAACAAGCCAAGCTAAGGCTAGGCATTCAGAATTAAGAATAAAACTCCATGTGTGGCTTATTTGAGAGCTGGGAGCTGGGTGGTGGGCTCCCCTAAAGAGCCCAAAAGAATAAAATATCACATCACAGCCATGCTCAGACTGCAGAGCCCAGCGCAGCCATCACAGGCTGAGGCAGTGCCCAGCCTTCCTGCTCCCAGACAGACTTAGTCATTCTTTCTGCTCCTGTGGTATTTTTCCATCATCTGTCCACCTGGACCAGATGCAATGGCGCTTCCTCCAAGTATTTTGTTCAACTTGCATGGTGGAGATGGAGGTAGAGATGGGGGGTGCACGCGAAAGACAGACAGACAGACAGAGACGGAGGCCATTATTTTACATTTTACGTGAATGATTTCCAGCTTTTGTTGAAACTTAGCCGACTTGAGAGTCAAATGGGATGGTGCACGCCTGTCATCCCAGCACTCAGGCGGTAGAGGCAGAAGGATCAGAAGTTCAGGTCCTCTTTGGCTGCCTAGTGATTTTGAGGCCAGTCCAGAACACATCCCAAAGAAACTGAACAACTGGGCCAGTGAAATGACTCTCTGGGTAATGGAACTTGTCACCAAGCCTGACGTCCTGAGTTCAATCCCCAGTACCCACAAGACAGAAGGAGAGAACTGGCTCACTCCCTCAAGTTGTTCCAGGACCTACACACAAACCCACATACACACACAATTATAGTAATAATTACATTTATTAAAAGTATTGTATTTGTCATTATAATAATAATTATATATACTAATATAATAATATTATATAATAATACTTATTATGACGATAAATATGCTTCTGGGGGTACTTTCAAGACAGGGTTACTCTGTATAACAGTTCTGGCTGTTCTGGAGCTCTTTGTAGACCAAGCTGGCCTTGAACTCACAGAGATCCACCTGCTTTAGCCTTCCTGGTGTTTGGACTCCAGGCATGAGCCACCATGCCCAGCTCACTATTGTTTTATGCTCTGTGGAGGGGCCTTGCCTTGGGAGGTCTTGTGTTATTCATTACTCTGAGTCTATTCTGTCAATACGCTTCCAAAGAGTTTGTGGCCCTGACACTAATTTTCCAACCAGCACCTAGCACTCTTCAGCCACGCTGATTTCCAAAGCTGTTATTGTCTTCCCACATGTTGCTCTCTGCAACCTCAGCCAGTAGCTCAGAGAAGTCAGATAAGAGTTCCTTGTCCCAGATTCTGACTTTGTTGTCCCTATTCCTGCTGCATCCGACTTGTCTGCTGCCAAGGTTGTTGTGTCTGTCCTGAGGAGAGAAGAGCATGTCACAGATCTTGTGAGCTGGGGAAAGCTACTGACCCAGCCTCCTGGACACCTTGCAATGAAAGTGGGTGTCATTTATTTGTTATAAAGCGGGGTTTGGGAGGACATTCTACCTGGGCTCTGGGTCTTACCACTAACATTGTCACTCTTTGAAGTATATTTTTATTCCACTTATTTATTGAGTTTGTGTGCCTGAGAGAGAGAGAAGGAGGAAGGGAGGGGGGAGGGAGGGAAAAAGGAAGGGGGGACAAAGAGAGAGAAATGGCCCACCTATGGAGGTCAGAGTACAAATTTCAGGAGTCGGTTCTCTCTTTGCATGATGTGGGTCCTGGGAACTGAACTCAGGTCATCAGCTTAGTAACAAACAATTTTACTCACTGAGCCATCTTGTCAGTCCATTTTTAAATTTTAATTAATTTTATTTTGAGGCAAGGTCTCACTCTGAAGTCCAAACTGACCTCCAACTTGTGGCTATCTTGCCTCAGCCTTCCAGGTGCGGTGAGCCATCTTGATCGACTTTTTCAGCTTAAAAAAAAAGTATTAGATTTGTATATGGGGGGGGGGGCGGTCAGGGTATGTGCCATGGCATGTATGTTGATTTTCTTCTTCCACACATGGGTCTTGGTAATGGAGCACAATCCAGGTTCGGAGGCAGCTGCCTTTACCCACCGAGCCTTCTAGCTAGATGTAGGCGCAGTTGTGAGCCACAGGATGTGGGTGCTGGAAGTTGAACTGTTTTGCACAAACAACCTGGCTGTAGCTCTCAGTGATAGGGTGTCTATAGCCCCGCCTGACCTTGAACCCCTCCCCATAAGCCCCCAGACTGTTCTCGAACTTGTGATCCTTCTGCCTCCACCTCCCCAGAATTGGGATTACAGGCATGCACCACCGCGCCTGATTTAATTGTTTTCATTCTTTTCCCTCTCAGCTCTTTCTCATCAGGGGGTCTTGAGAACCACCTTTTGCTCCTCGAGATACCGCGGTGCTTCTAATGAGGAGCGCCTCTGGCACCTGCCCTGGCCCGGCCCCGGCCCCGCGCAGGCCCTGCTCTTCCGGCATTTAAGGCGCGTAGCCGGCGCGGCTGCAGCTCCGAGTAGTAGAGAGTCACAGCGGGCCGGACGCACGAAGCAGGATGGGCTGCAGGCACAGCCGACCCAGCCGCTGCAAGCGTGCGGAAAAGGTACTGGGCACCGGGACACGGAGGTCTGCCTTGGGGTGCACTCAGAGGGACGGCAGAGGACACCGAATGGACAACAGTCGGGGCTGGCACGGAGACGGGGGTGCAGGGACGGGGATGATCTGTTCCCGCCCCGTGCTGAGCCAACCCGGCAGCCGGCAGCTGAGTTGACACACTCAGCCCCAGGCAAACTGAAGCTGACCTCTGCTGTCCCAGCAGGGAGATGACTGCTGTGTCTGTGGCCGATGGTCTTAAGTGTGGGGCTGTCACTGTGCGGGCGAGGACCGGACGCTTGGCCTCTCTGAGTCTTGAGCTAAGGTCTAAAGGCCCGCAATCGGAGAGGTCCACTGTCTTGCAGTGCCTGCATCTCTTGAGACCTGTTGGAAACCTAAACTCCCAGGTCCGCCTAAGGGTTACTAGACACAGTCTGCCCCTTAACGGAGCTTTGCCTCGGATCACTAAGCTCTTTAGAGCCTGGGAAGCGAGTTAGGGCCTCCTGCAAGCCCGGAGCAGTGTGCGTGGGCTGCCCTTAGGGTAGCTGGGAGGGGCTAAAGAGGGAGGGGATCTGTAGGCTTCTGCAGCTCTCTCCTCCCTTCCTGTCCCTCCCCCAGGGACCTGAAGCTGGGTTAGGGCCCAAGAGACTGACTCAGGTTTCTGCCCCTTGAGGTCTGAGAAGCCCCAGGAGGTTGGAGCCCAGAAACAGGACCGTGTCTACAGAGATAATAGCAGGAGGCCCAGGGAAGGGAATTGGGACCCTGGAGTCCTGGTGCTGTTTCCTATTGCTCACTGCCAGTCCCTCCATCCCAGCCAGGTGGGGATGGATAGCTCCTGACTTGATCAGCCCCCACTGTGAAAATGACTAATTTTGTAATGAACGTCAGCCCTTCTGTGTTCCTGTCATCTGTTTCTGTCTTTAGCTTTGTCAGTCTCTACCCTGCACTTCCAATGACTTCTTTTCTTTCTTTCTTTCTTTCTTTCTTTCTTTCATTTTTTTGTTTTCCTGTCCTTTTTTTTTTTTTTTTTGAGACAGGGTTTTATGTAGCCAAGGTTGCCCTCAAATTGGGTATGTAGCCAAGGCTGGCCTTGAACTACCAATCCACCTGCCTCTCTCTCCCCAGTGCTGGGATCACGGGCATGCCCCATCATGCCAGGCTGTATGTTTTTGTTTAGTTTTAGAGAAAAGGTCTCAATATGTGGCACAGGTTGGTCCCAATTTTTCAATTTTCCTTAGCTGCCCCAGTGTTGAAATTATAGGTATGGGCTACTATTCCTGGCTTCCAGTGACTACAAAGCCTCAAACAACCTGGCATGTCTGCCCTGCGCCCGTGTGCCTTTGCTGGGTTCTGTCAATCACACCGCCTGTTAGCAGGACAGCGTGCTGCTTCTTGGCTAAGTTTCTACCCGTTCCTACCTCTCCTGGATGGTGCTTTTGCTTAATTTCTAAGGCAGGTGTCAAGTCCTGAGCACCCAATCCATCCCAGCAGGCTGCCAATACCCCTGGGGGATGGGACACCAGAATGGAGACTCAGGGGCCACAGGGTCAGACCACAATAATGACTCACCCTGAGAATTTCACTTCCTGCTCAGCCTCATGAAGGCCCTGAGAACCAGGTTGAGTTATGGAAAGAAGCTTCCCATTTACATGTGTAGACAAACACTGAGGCTCAGAGAGGAGTGATGGCAGTCGGATGCTAGGGTGAGGGGGCTGCAGAGATAGCTCAGTGGTTAAGAGCACTGGCTCCTTCTCCAGAGGATCCAGGTTCAAATCCCAGTACACACATGACAGCTCATAACTATTTTAAATTTCAGTACCATGGGATCTGACCACCCTCTTCAGGCTTCTGTGGGCATTTGACATGCCTGTGGCACACAAACATACACGCTGGCAAAACACCCATAGTCATAATTAAAAAAAAAAGTTTTTCCTAATTAAAAAAAATATAAAAGACCTGCTGGATGTGGTGTTAACTTTAATCCCGGCACTTCGGAGATAGAGGCAGGTGAATCTTTGTGAGTTTGAGTCCAACCTGGTGTACATAGAGAGTTCCAGTACAATCAGAAGTACATAGAGAGATGTGTGTGTATACATAAATGTGTACATATGAATATGAATGACTAGCTTTCTTTAAATGCCATCTAGCCTACACACACACACACACACACATATACACACACACACACACATACACACACACACACACATTCCCCCACCCTCCACTGCCTTGTACAGAGAGAGCATGGAGCAGGTGCCGAGGAGTGCAAAGAGGGCCAACTGGGAGTCAGGCCAAGGCTTAGCCTGGCATGCAGCAGGAGAGTGTCCTGGACGGAGAGGAAGGCTTCTTGGGTGGGGAAGTTTGGCAGGAGTTCCCCCAATCAAAGCTGAGGGCTTAAGGGAAGTCCGAGCTACAGAAAACCCAGGATGCCGGGCTTGTGCAGGGTGGGGTGGCTGGCAGCGGTGCTGGCCTTGATGAGAACTCGCCAGGATAAGGGAGACTCAGTTTTTGTCAAAGCAATTTTCACAGCTACGGGCACAGATAAGAACTGTTACTTGTGATTGAAATTGAAGCCCTAGACGCAAGCTTACACCCAAGCTTCCAGCCTGGGAAATCCACTCCCGCTTAGCTATGTAACTGGGACAGGATCCTGATGGTTGGGACCTCCCTAGTACCCCCAGCACATAGAGGGCTGTGCCCCATGGCTCTGCTGACCAGGCGCTCTAGGCCTTACCGAGAAGCCCAGCCTGGGACTGTTTCTTTGGCTCAGGACATGCTGATATCCTGGGATTAGGAGCTGGGATATAATTCAGTGGCTAGAGACCTGGCTTCCATTCACAGCACCACACAAACTGGGCATGATGGCAGAGGCCTCTACCCCAGAGCTTGGAAGGTGTGGTAGGAAGGTCAGAAACTCAGGGTCATCCTCAGCTACAGTGAATTCAGGGCCAGCCTGGTCTACATAGCACGTTTCAGACCAGTCAGAGCTATACAGCGAAAGCTAGTCTCAAACAACAAACAAAACACAGCAACGAGAAAGACTTCATCCCCCCCCATATAGGCTTCCTTTTTTCATGTCCTGTGTATATATTTTTTCATGTATTGTGTGTTTGTGTGTGTGTGTCTCTATGTCTCTGTGCACACACATGCCACTTTGTATGTGGAGGTCCGATAACAACGTTCAGGAGTTGCTTCTTTCCTTCCTGGGGATCAAACTCAGGTGGTCAGTGTTGTCAGAAGGTAACCTTACCCACTGAGCCATCTCAAACACACACAACAAAACATGTTTGTATGTAATAAATACATAAAATGTCTTTTTAAAGAACGTGGCAACCATTTGTGTGCCCACTCCACTGAGTTCTGAGCCCCCATGGCCTTGCCTGAGGTCACAGATCTACTTGAGTGACCTTGCCAGAGACCTGGCTTCCCTGGCTCAGGGTAAAAGAGTCACAACCTTGGTTCCTGTGTCTAGATTTGGTCTACAAAGCTGATGAGAGGTTAAGTGTACCAGACCCCAGAGGCCTGACTGGCGGTGGTGAGGCATAGAATTAAAGTTGCCATCTAAGGATGCCACTGCCTGTGGCTCACCTAAAGAAGCAAAGGAGTTTGTGAGGGCAACAGACACTCGTGCTGGCTGAGGTGGGCAGGTGCGGGGGCCTGCAGCCCAGGTCTGGCCTTGGAGCCTCTGTTCTCAAGGAGCGAAAGCATCTGCTCTTTGCTGAGCTAGGACTCAGGACCCTGGCTACTGGGAGAAGCTAAAGGGAGCCAGATTTCCATTTCTTGTGCAGAAGTAATTGGAGAGAGAGAGAGAGAGAGAGAGAGAGAGAGGTGAGTTCATCATCATTAGAGGGCTTCAAGCAAAGACCAGATGTCCTTTGGGTAAGAATAGTAGAGGTAATACAAGCCCCGGATGGCAAATATTTACTAATCCGCTGTGCAAGCCTAATATTTCTTATCATTGCAATTTAAGGGTGGTGGTGGCACACGCCTTTAATCCCAGCATTCGGGAGGCAGGGGATCTCTGTGAGTTCAATGCTAGCCTAGGCTACAAGAGCTAGTTCCAGGACAGGCTCCAAAGCTACAGAGAAACCCTGTCTTGAAAAAAAAAGAAAAGAAAGAAAGAAAGAAAGAAAAAAAAGAATAAGTTTCAAAAATTTAGAAGGGTAGGAAAAAGTTTGGAAATTGCTTTTAAGTTCACCATTAAGAAATAGCCTCTATAAAATACATTGGGTGAAATTCTCAAAGAATTAGTACGATTTAAAAAAAAACTAAAAAGAAATAGCCTGATTTTCCCACATATGCTATATAGATGAGGGTGACTATTTTTATAAATCTAGCAACTTTTAAGATCTTTGTTGTGTGTGAGAGAGAGGGGGATGCATGCACACACATGCCAGCACCCTGAACACATACATCTCTCAGATCCCTGGGAGCTGCAGTTACAGAATGTTGTGAGCTGGGAACTGGACTCCTGCCCTCTGTTAGGCCAGCAAGAGCTCTCAACCACCTAGCCATCTCTCCAGCCCTGAATCTGGGACTACGTTGCATTGCATATGGCTAGTGCTCTCCCGGAGCCTTTTTTCCGTGTGAATTAGTCTGCAGAACCTCTTTTTAATGGTCCTAGCCACGGTCCTTCTTGTTTAGCCGGTTTGTGTGCGTGCATTGATTCTTTACAGCCCTCTGCCTTTGCTAGCAAGGAACTTCCTGTGTTCTCTCCTTAACCTGGGGCACAGTGACTTTGTCCCTAGATCAGCAAAAGTCTCATAAACAATGATGTCTTGGCTGGGACTTGAAGGTGGGTAAGGATGAGACTATATCACTGGCTAACCATGATATGCAGGTGAGGGTCCCAGGCAGAAGAAATACAGGGCGCATTTGACCTTTTCTCTGGGGTTGCCAAAGGCATGCTGGTCAGGGAGCGTGAGACCAAGCTGCCGCGGCCTGATCAGGCAGCAGCTGTCTCGGCACCTTCTGCCCTAGCCACTACTGACACATCACACCGGCACGCAC